CTCTCTCTCTCTCTCTCTCTCTCTCTCTCTCTCTCTCTCTCTCTCTCCTTCTCGGATTTTTTATGTGATTATGAGCTAATATCTATCAACATCTAGAGAAACATCTTGAATTTAATCATCAAGATATTTCTATTTCTATTTCCGATAGATGTAAACAGCGAGGAAAATAGTACAGCAAATGAAGAGCCTAATTTTTCTATTAAAGTAGAAGTTGAAGACCTTCCCCGTGAAGGTGTTGAACAACTTGAGACAGAATGTGAAGAAATAGTACCAGAGGTAGAAGCCGAAATCAAAGATTTGGCCGACGCTGAAGCAGCAGAAGCTATTCCGCTTAAAAAATCAAATAATAGCGCTCAGCAATTGCGAATACAGCCAGCTCTACCACTAGACCACACTGCCGCCCTATATATTGTTAATATTATACCTCACGTTTGACCTCATAATCCTCGACCTCGTAACAGGCTGAAAGTTATAATACACATATTTCTTTTGTAGATCTATCGGAATGAAGCTTGATATGTCAAAATCAACCCCTCATTCCTGCTTTCAAAGAGTAATAGTTACCCTTGTTTGTATATTTCATAAACTTATTGCTTGGCCTACAGGCGAAAAGTTAGAAAGGACTATTCAGAAGTTCAGAAATATTGCTGGTATGACGGGAGTGATTGGTGCAATAGACGGTTGTTATGTTCCCATTGATGCACCTCAAGTAAGTTTAACTTGTATTTTTACAACAAAAACTTACACTTCCAAAGAAATTTACAAAAGAAAAAGTAACAATTAAGCTGAATGTAATGTATTTTAATTTGCTACTTACAGAGTATTACAAGTTAAAAAAATACCATGTTGTAAAATTTTTAAAATTTGTTAAGGTGATGCACAATAATATCGAACCAGAAAATGTGAGTACGCAATAACCCTTCAAGCGGTATGTGATCCTGAGTTGCGATTCACCGATGTATTTGCTGGCTAAGTGTGGGAGATCTCCGAGTATTTCGGAATTCTCCATTATACAGAGACACTGAGGCAAACATCCAAAATTTTTTCCCCAATAGTGAATACATAATTGGAGATAAGGCCTATAATCCTCCATTACCTTGGTGTATTTCACCATATAAAAATATAGGACACCTAACTGCTGTAAGTTAGTATTTTTTTACTTTGCACGTAGCAGTTAAAAAATTCTTCGCCTTGCAATGATAACACATATTAATTTTAGATACAAATCTCGTTTAACACCATTCTGAGTAAAACGAGACAAACAATTAAAAGAACTTTCGGATTACTGAAAGGACGCTTTCGACGATTAAGACATCTCTCCATGGTCTGCTACGAAGAAATCCCAGACACCATACTGGCATGCTGTGTTCTACATAATATATGTCTACAGCAGGAGGATGATTTCATCGGTCTCTCTTGCGCCTGTGTATCTGGTTGTATCAGAACAAGAGAGTCAGATACCAGCTGATAAATTGGAAGAATTTGAAGAATTTGTGCTATCGCGTGAACAGCAAGGAGAAGAAAAAAGCGCTAAAGACGAACAAAACCTTAATTTAGATTTCTCTTTCCTGCATTCTGAGAAAACGATTGAAGGACAAAGAATTAATAAAATAATTTAATCAAAAATTTAATAGAAAAAAATGAGACAAGTGACCAAAAAAAAGACACCCGATATGGAAAGACTTCACCAAGTTAAAATATATGAAATGTAATAAATGTAATAGATAAATAGAGAAATAATTGACAAAGAGTAGAGAGTCAAACAACATGTGTATGTGTGTGTTTAATAAGAAGAAAGAAAATAAAACAACGTAGCCGTCCGAAGTCTCATCCGATTTGGAAACATTCTTTTGAGTTGAAAAGCATAAAATGCATACATTAGTTGCTTTCTATTTACATCAAAACTCAGATAATTCTTACTTGTGATGTCATTCTGTCTTTATTATTCATTAAATGCCAAAAAAGATAGAACGACGTCACAAGTGAGAATTATCTGAGTTTTGATGTAAATTGAAAGCACCTATTGTAAAGAAATGTATGTAAATGTACAGAAATGTTCAGAGTACGAGTACATCGGTCTCTCTTGCACCTGCGTATCTGGTTGTATCAGAACAAGAGAGTCAGATACCAGCTAAAAAATTGGAAGAATTTGCTATCACGTGAACAGCAAAGAGAAGAAAAAAGCGCTGAAGACGAACGAAACCTTGATTTGACGACCTTTGTTTACGACGACCTTTATTTGACGACGGTCCTTGATTTAGGTTTCTCTTTCCTGCATTCTGAGAAAACGATTGAAGGACAAAGAATTAATAAAATAATTTAATAGAAAATTTAATAGAAAAAAATGAGATAGGACACCGTGGACCAAAAAAAAAGACACCCGATATGGAAAGACTTCACCGAGTTAAAATATATAAAATGTAAGAAATGTAAAAAAAAAATTAACAGTGTAGAGAGTCAAACAACCTGTGTATGTGTGTGTTTAATAAGAAAAAAGAAAATAAAACAACGTAGCCGTCCGAAGTCTCATCCGATTTGGAAACATTTTTTTCTTTTAGTTGAAGAGCATAAAATGCATACATTGTAAAAAAATTTTGAGCATATCAGCAGCTAATATCTATCAACATCTAGAGAGACATCTTGAATTTAATCATCAAGATATTGTACAGACGCCAGATGATTTAAAACCAAATTTCATTAAATTAACTAAATTTCGTACACATAAATTGCATACACAAAATTCATTTGAGTCATAAGTCATCGATAAAACTCTTTGGGGGAAATCTACCGTAAAAAATTGATTTTTTCAAAAATAGATCAGTTATAAAAAAAATACAAATTCTAAATATAAATGCCCGCCCATATCTATATAAATCCATTTAATGTGATGGTCACAACGTATCGTAATACTTAAGTGCTTATAAGTATGAAAATTTCAATTATATAAATAAATTACGTTGAATCCTTGTTCTAAAAACGTTTGATCGTTTAGCGTTAACAAATTTGGAAATCCAACGATTTTTTATAATGCTATCTTTATTTTATTCCTTTTTCCACAAAAGTCGATTTATCTAATAACTCATTACATGTATATAAAACTCATATAAAATATAACTCATATAATTCTTTTGACTAAATATATATTTATTTTATAAATAACTTGGAATTTTTTCAATCCTGTTATAAAACAAGAATTCAACGTACGTATATTCTTCACAATAGTAATTAAAAGTAGAATTAGCTATATGACAATACACGCGATTAATAATTGGATAATTAGTCTTTGGTAAGCTTCTATGGCAGTGTTTCATTTCCCTACCAGCGCGGAGGAGTCGACGATACAGCTTGCTGATTAATTAAGGACGGTCCACTACGTAGCAGCATAACAAAAATTTCTTTAACATGATAAACGTGAAAAGATATGTATCTTTTTAATTAAAACTTCTTACCTCCAAGCAATGAGAGGTGCCAATCTCTCGGTCAATCTCTGATAATTTCTCTCCAGCTCCCGCTGATAATCCCGCTGATCGGGACCAATCAGATTCTTATTGCGCCGCAAAGCGTCGAGACACTTTTTCTGGAAATCTTTGAAACACAAACGAAGCTTGTGCTGCAATCTGGTCGGCTGCGCATTTTGTTCGCGCAAACCCGAAAGAAACACGACCGCTACTTCAGCTGGTCCTTGATTAACCGTCGTGCCAATGCAACCTTGAAGGACCATTTGCAGCATCTTTGCGTCAGGTGGTTCTTGAGCGGTTGCAGCAGCCACCTAATTAAGATTACATAAAAATGTATTACATGTGTACTGTAAAAATATTAAGATGTGAGAAATCGATCAATACCTCGGCAGTCTTCTTCTGTATGTCTTCAATTGCCACTTCGATGGGACTCAGGACTATCTGTTTTCGAGCCACAACTCGAATTCTGGTTTTCAGATATGGGAAATGTGTCGCCACCGTTAATATAGTCTTCCGTTTACACTGTTCACGTAATTCACCGTGAGCTTTGCCACCAGGAGTAAAAGGTGTCGCATAAACAAATCGTTCTGAAAACAAAAGCCATTATCGAAACAAATTGTTAATTACTGTATAATTAATTACTGCTATCACAAAATAATATTTTGTCTAAATCAATACTCACTTATGTTGAAATTCCGATGGAAAACTGTAGGTCTGTGTCTAAGCTCGTGTGCTTCGAAGTACGGCTCCACGTAAGTGATCTGTACGTAAGCTTTGTCCGGTTCCAGTTTGCTAGGATCCACAGGATTCGAATCCTTTATTATAACTATATTCTCCGCGCCGAATCTCTCGGCATAAAAGTTCTCGAGTCTCGAGAATATTTCCGGAAGTTTTGTTAAAGTTGGCTCTTTGTAAACGAACTCTTCGCCGGCAAGATCGCCGAATCTGGCGCCATAGAAACCAACTCTGAAGTACGTCCCGAAGACACGCTTGCCAGCCAATTGTTCCACACGCGTATATGCCTCGTGAAGTTTACTAAAAAAAAGTTCCGAAATAATATCTTATACAGTAAATTTGAAAAAAATGCGCCCTCCATATCATATTAAATAATTTAAATTTTCTTACCCGTGAATGTTAGCTAATTTCTTGTAGTCATGTGCAGCTTCTGCTATAGGTAGCAACACCCTATAGACGTCAGGAATAGCTTCGTACATTCCAGCTGCGTGAAAAGAGCTAGCCGCGTGCTCCAATAAACCCGCCAATCCACTTTCTGAAAAATCGGGGCCTAAGCAAAGCCCTTCTTCCCTTCTGGCCAGTACGTCATCGCCGACGGCACTCTCCTCTAAAGCGTTCGGTGTCACGGCGTTCAAAGCAACAGCTCCTACGGGCCGACCGCCGCCACCAGGTTCGAGTAGATGAAGATATTCCGCTACCAGAGCGGCACTGTGCACCAAACACATTGCTGCTTCCGTGTGATTTTTCCTTTCCATGTGCTGCTGCGCCATATTTGCGAGCCAAGTCAGACGAAGATCAGGCGATCCTTGATAGCCCTTGGCGATTCTAAACAAAATTTAGATACATCCCTTAGCTCGTTATGTTTACTTTGAGTACCACGTCACTCAGATCTGAGTGACGCATAAGTTCTCGCAGGGGCTCTATCACCCACCTATGGGTGACGATTTTATTCACTCAAGTAGAAACGATTTCGTTACTTATAAATATATTGAATAAAACCTTATTTTTACAGTGCATTGAATATATATATTTAAAACAAAACTATCAAAAATTCACTCTTGGGCCCCGCAGAGATCACGCTCGAAATGTGCTTGGCACTCGAAGTGTTTAAGTCAAATTGTTTGCTAAGATTCAGAAATCTTACCTATACATTAGATCCAAGAGCATTTCAGGATCCTCTTGGAATTCCTTCATCTTAACAGTATCAGAGAGGATCATATGAAGATTGAATAGTAGATCCTTCACTTGTTCAGGAAAGCTCGTGTCTGAAAGCTCCGTATCTCTCTCGGCGTATACCAGCACCGTTTTCAAGGCCCTACGTAACGCACCCTCGCTAGGTGCTCTTCCTCTTCCAACAAGAGCAGATAAGGACGTTGTGACTTGCATCTTGACGCGCGCAAAGTTCTGTGAAGAATGTAAGATTAAAACAAGGCTTCATAGTTCACAACATCATGAGATCTCATGACAGCTTACATTCCCAATTTCGAAATTCTGTCGCATCAGCAGATACAGGCTTGCAGCTGCGTGACTTCTAATAGCGCTTAAGGGCGAGCTGCATCGAGTGAGCAATGTTAAGCATAAATCCCCGCAGCGCTCGCTTTCCTCGTCGAACAATGCGCTATGATACTTGAAGACTAAAGCCCGCTGTGTATTGAACATGTGCTGAAGCACCGATGTACTTTGGTTTCTAGCCAACGCTCTTAGTAACACTTTCAATACCGCACCGACAACCGCACCTAAGTAATTTCAAACGTTTAATTCATCTATCTTGTCATATTTAAGTAGTGAAATAAAAAGTCGACGAATACCTCCACCGCCGTCAGCTTGAACTACGGATTCTAAGGTATCTAATACGACAAGAGAAGCCTCAGCCGCTAAGGCTCCTTCTATATGAGCGTCTTGTTCCACAGCTCTTCCTTCCGGTTGTTCACAAGATCTTGAAGAATCAATATATTTATATAATCATGACTTCAATTAAAATTAAAATTAAAATTAAAATAATATAATAATATTTGTACCTGTAAGGCATTTGATCTTTGCGCCATCTCAATTTGTCTCCGGTCACTCTCTCCTTTCTTCGTAGCATCATTTCGCTCCTGGCACTTCCCTGACCGAGAATCACATCTTCCAGTCGCGATCTAATATCGCTGGTGGCCGTTGCTTGAGGTGGCAATCTTTTAAGTGCTTTCTTGCCCTTGTATTCGAAAGCTGCGGTGGCGATATTCAGTACTTGCAGCAAGCTCAGAATACGTCTAGCGCTGAGTTCGGAACACCACTGTGCTAGAGCGGTTCGTTCTAGTCCCTTCAGCACCCATAAGGCACACATTAATAAATGTCGAGTAGCTTCGGAACTCAGAGATACACGGCACTGATTGCCCGCGGTGTCCGCCGACATTCCGCCAGCAATAGCCAATGCTACCGATTGCGTGATCGATCCGGATTCATCCGGATAAACGCTTTTGTCTTTGGAGTCCCAATGATAAAGCTGGGGTAAGGCATCCATCAAGATACTAAGTAACGGCAGATAGAGCGCGGCAACTCTAGCCTTCGCCGCAGGATCGGAATATCGCAGATCAGCATCGTGGCAGCTCATAAGATGTCGGACGGTCCCAATAGCTTTATTCTGTAGCATCGGATTTGGTATCTCCAAGGTGTTTGCCAGATCTGACAGAACAATGCCGACCAGGAAGTGCTGCTGCCTGAATTCTTGACTGAGTTCCGAAAACCGGGCTCTATCCCCGGGCACGAGAGTGGATATCAGACTGCCTGAGCTGCCAGTCGATGGACTGGGCGATGCCGGAGCCGATCCCGACGTATAACCAGTGCCAAAGGGAAGATTCAATGCTACATAGTGCTCGTGCGAGCACACCGTTCTCACGAGATCGAGTTTCAGAGCGAATAACGCTGCGGAGTCGGGAATATGCATTGACGCATCCGACAGCGAGCAACAGGCGGCGCGAACGAGCGACAGCACGAATCCTCTGTCCATCACGGATAGCAGGTCGGATAAGAAATTGCCAAGGCTCGATATCAAGTTGGACGCCACGCGGATTTCCTTGCCGCAGCGCGATATCACCTCGGACGTTAACGCAGCGGTGAGCGTCGCGACATCGTCGCAGAACTGCGGTGAGAATCTAATTTTTCGCAGTGCCTCCAAGGACGCCATCTCAGACAGCGTGACAACCATCGAGCGCATTATCAGCTCCAGGAAGAACCAAGAATGAGTTATCGCCAGTTCGCGTGCCTGACCGGTGGATACAACCCAGTGCAAGGCAAGTTCCTCGTGTAGAAGTCTTCTGGTGGGATGACTGTTGATCGAGGGGGATTCCTGTCGCATCGACGCGGTTCTGTCCAATCCCCGCGAGTGGATTTCCATCTCCAGATCTTCCAGAGGCAGATCGGGATTGCTCTGTGCTCGCACGACGCCCCCGTTGTGAGTCATGCTCGGCAAAGAGCATTGATACGCGATGTAGGTGGCCAATAGCGCGTGTCTTCCATGCGCGTCTAATTGACCATCCGGTAAATTGGTAATATTTCGTACGAGCAGTCCCAGAGCCTCGAAGATGGTGGCGGCAACGTTCAGCGATTGAGACGGTAATGTTGGCGGTCGCACTAGAAGACACAGTAATTGATCCAGTAATTGTGGAAGTGATCGCACCAAGGCGGAATGTGAGGCACGCGCTAATTCGAGAAGAGCTGATTTTAATTCTGATTCCATGCCCGCTTCGCCGATACGGGGCGGAACTTGACCGGTTTCCAAAAAGCCGCATAATGATAAAAATCTGTAATATGGAAATTATTTAAAAAATTATTACATATTTTGTTATTCGTTTTTTATTCCCACAAAGGAAAAAAATAATACATTATTACCTGTCAATATATTTGTCTTGCGGATGAACGCTGGAAACAGGCTCCAATATAACAGTGAAGACCCCTCGATGAGCATCCACCCATCGAGTGCCTGGCAAAAGAACATCGGGTGCAATGTAGGAATAATTTGCGGGTGGCGGATCTAGCATAGCAGGCAAACTGAATTCGCCTGATTGGAGATGACCATCTCTTAGAAGCGGTAGCCACTACAAATAAAATTTTACATATTTAGTTCATCAATCAAATTACCAAGTCCTAATTTTATTAATTACTGATTAAAATTTACTGTATATGCGACCGCCGTTTCGACGTTTGGTTGCTCTGCTTTCTTCTGGCAACTAATATGATAGAAAGTGAACAATAAGTGATGTTTTGCACTTAAATCCGCGGGTAGTCTCATCTTGATTTCGTCGTAAAAATTCGGATTCTTGTTGTGGTATGATACGGAAGTAAAATATTCGTGCGTCATCTCAGGACACGATGATCTGCCGAAGATAGCTGTAAGCGCGTCGGCTTCTTGCTCACCTCCCATAAGCTGAATTCTTACAGCGATATTACGGGCTGAGCCAGTTCTGGAGCTGAAGTTTGCTTCCTACGCATAATAAAATATAATTTCTCATGTCGTAGAATTAATAAGAAATAATTGATCGTACAATTTTATTCGATATGCACCTTGGGATAAAGATATAGGAGATTACGATACGTTAAATCGGGCGAAACAACTTCGCTTGGAAACTCGAGTATCTCCTTAACCGGTCGATTCTTTTCATCCGGATATGGAACTAATCTTCTAAGGTCGGGATCAAGACACCTCGGTAGCTCTTCGGGTCTGGGACTGAGATCCAATTTCAATATCCCTGGTAAGCATTTTAATCGTTTCAAGTTGGAACCAGGTCTTCGTAGTTCAACCAAAAGCTTATAAAGATCTTCATCGCGAAGTCGTTCGCTTTCCTGCTTGAAGAAGCTCGAGACTGTTAAAGTAATGGGCCTATAAAAACATCAAGATGTTAGTTAAGCCTTTCAATAGGAAAATAGAGCATTATACGAACCTAAAGCTATCGAGGCAATTGGCAAAATCGTCCGGCGACCAACTACGTCTTTTATCCGAACTCCGTCTTTCTAGCGAACCACGTCGCGTCGGCGGTTCCACTTTCTTTCGCCACTGTTCCAGACCGCCCGACTTTCTGTCTAAAGATCCAGCACTGCCAGTGCTATCCGTATCACCACCGCCTCCGATTACACCAGACAAATGAATTGCAGTCCACGCGAGAGGCATTCTATAACGACCTAGGCGTTCGCACGCAGCAGCGGCGGCAGCTCTGACCTATACGAAAATAAATAAGACAATAATATGAGAAATTGCCATTTTGAATGCATCAGTATTTTATTTTAACATTTTATTACCTTATCTTTATTTTTATCTTCGCGTAAATATGGTTCGGCACACTCCGATATATCGCCCTGCAATACTTTCTCGAGCCGTACGACAAGAAACAAATCGGGACTGGGTTTATTGATACTCAAAACGCAACTTCTAGCTAAGGTACTTGCATCGCTATAAGCGATGTGTCCTCCAAGCATTCTTTTCAAGCCCTCTGAATTCATATCGACGTAGAAATTTTCGGACACCTGAAATATAACAATTTGTAATTAGCATTATGTATTCTTAAAGTTGTAATTTCAATGATAAAAAATATCATACCTTTTTCTTTTCTCTGGCATCGTATAATGCGAGACTGGCGAATATTGGCTCCACTTCTAGTTCTAACTTTAATTGCAGACATTTTACGAGAATTTTATGAGCAAAAGGTTCTGTAGGTTCCGGGGCAACGCTGATTTCTTGCCACTCATCGTCAGGAGAAGTCGGAGGAGCGTAAAGCGGGAACAAGGCTTCCTGAAAAATAAATATTTAAATATTTAGTCAAATATTGAACAACAAATACAATATTTAATATTAACATTATAATATTTAACATTTATTATTCAATATTTTATTAAATATTTAGTTTAGATAATGAAATATTTAATTGAGGAATGTATGAAGGATAGTCTGGGACAACCTTCAGAAGGTTCGACGGTTAAACGGGACACTCAATTCACTCGCGAGTGAATTATCGCTAATCTCAATATCTATATTTACGTCACATACACAAAATACAAAATAAACGCGGACAGAAAGATGATCGATCCGACGGACCAAAGGCCTGTTAACGGAATATAGTTCCGAGCACCAGCGGATTTCGATTCGAAAGAGGGCGGCGCGTGACGGAACGGAGCGTTAATCAGCGCGAATAAAAAGATCTTAAGGCGCGCGAATATAGAACGGAGATCTTGAAACTCACGAACAGAACGGAGGTCTTGCTGCGCGCGATGACGCAGATTTTCGCTGCGTCAGCTGAAAACAGTTCTTGGGCCTGCAAGAAGAGCCACGCTCCACGCCAAAACCATCTCGCTCCCAATAACACGAAAGGCCGGTATCCAATTGATTGTTAATCTTTGGATAATCACACCCGCACATCCTAGTATTAACGCAAGAAAACGGCGGCACAATATACGGCGCAAGCAGTTCCATGACCGATCGGTCTTTATCGCAGGCTCGTCATACAGAAACTAAATTCGCCGGATCGTCGCACAGCACGCAAAACCTTCGAGTTCGGAAGCGGCGCAGGTATGCGGGAGCATGACCAGCGCGTGATACGATTGTAAGAGACGCGTGTACGCGTGATAGATTACAGCTGTTGTTGACTTACGGACTCGGCGTTGTCTAAATATCGTGGAATAGAATGTATCAGCAACGCCGAATCCGGAACAATATTTAATAAAATATTTAATAAGAAATATTTAATAAATATTCAATATTTAATAAATATTTAATAAATATTAAATAACAAATATTAAGAATATTTAGTCAAAATAAAACGGACAAACTTGCCGCTTTATAATCCTGTACCTGTCGATCCTCCAATCTTTTCTGCTCGTTCATCTGATCGATCGTTTCGAGGCAAACACGATCTAACAAACTCGGCAGAAGAGGGTCATGTTGCGAATGCCGCAAATCCAGACTTGCCCAAGATCCTCTCGGAGTATCTCCGGAATTGGGCAAATCATCCTCTTCGTTCGGTGATACACAGCCATTTGCATCTTCTTGATCTACCTAATTAAGATAAATCGCTTTCACTTCCTGCTTATCACAAGTAAATTAATTTTATCTCCAGCACTAGATACCTCGAAATCTTGTCTAGGTGTATCCTGAAGCAATCTGTCTCGGGCGATAGGTGAGATTCTACCTTTGTATTTACGATGTATTACGACCCAGTCTGAAGTAAAACTCTCAATGCATCTTTTCACATAAGGCGACACGGTATCACTGAAAGCCAAATGATCAAAATGAAAAATGGATGGCAAGTTTTAAATAACTGTATTGTAATTAATAGCGTTTCGACTATTTTCTTACATTGATTCGTGCGGTACTACTGGCTCCTCTGTTCGAATCTTCCTCTTTACGACTCTCAATTCGACGTCTCCCGGTGGAAAATCTAGTATTGGTTTTAAAGGATCACGGTCCAGCACTGACTGATGCTGTCCCAAGAATTCCTCGTAATCAAGTGGTTCTAATACCTCGCACAGGGACATCTGCATATAAGAATTAAATATTAATTTACTCCAAGATTTTTTGTTTATTGGCAATCTTTTTATATGCCAGTTTTCCAAAGAAGACTGCATACCGTGGAAGAAAATCCTGATACACTGCTACCGCTCTTGGATAAATCACGAGAATAGGAAGTAGAAGTGGCAATTTGCCGCCTCACATCGGCGGCATGCTGTTTGCTTAACTTGTGAGCAAATGCACGCTGGACCGAAGACATTATAAATGTCCCAGCAAATTAATCCGACGAGATTCTGTAACTGTTAAATGCCATATCGAAATAATACTTAGTCGTGCTTATATGTTCTCAGTACTTCTTAGTTGAATTTATATTCTCTATTTATGTTCTCTATTTACATTCTTTATTTACATTCTCATGACAAAGCGACGTATGTAGTGTTGTTTTCGTTTTAATTTCAACCTAACGTCCGAGCTTTACAAAGCGATTGATCATGTATACATATAAAAGCTTGTCCAGTTAATATTAAATTGTAAGAGACCGTTCATAATTAGCATAACAACTGGATTATTGTGAAAGAATTTTCCTTTATTTATTAAAACGAGTAAACCACGATATCATACGAAATTTAACGAAAAGTAACCAAAACAGATATCGACAGATATAAATCATTAATTAATTTGGATTTAAAA